TACTTTGAGGACGCGCCTCGTATTACCCGAAACACATTTGCAAATTGTTTTAATAAAATAAATACTTTGTTTGTGTATTTTATTATGCAGTGTTGCTTTTTCGCTTTAAATGTGAAAGAAATCTATTGCTCTACAGATCTTTTTCTGAAAAATGATGATTGATTATACCGCCTGCAGATTATTGTTTAGACTACACGCCTCACAGACGTGTCAGAGAAGTTGCCGCACGATCACGGCGAATCACAAGCGTTCATATTTTGTCTCCTGCGTTGCAAAGGTTTGAAGCCGTTGCAGTTGTGCTAAGTGTTGTCATAGCACAGGTGGTTCTCAACGGCTTTTCACCTCGGAATTAGGGTTGAGACGCAAGTTAGTTCAGTGTATTTGTTGCAGTGTGTTTTCAGATTTAAATGTACTGTGTACTCTGTACGCTCAGTTTCTTATTTACAGTGGAAGAAACATCGCGTAATGGAGGAGCTATTTTGTGCTACAAAGAGCAAGTCGTTGAAAAAGAGACACGTGGCGTCTGTAGCACAACACTTCGCTTGTATTTAAGGGTACCTGGTTTTGTAAAATTAGTCCTGATTCGGGATTCCTTAAGTCCTTCCAGGCAAATGCTAGGGTAGTTAGTACCTGAAGAGGCCATGACCGCTTCCTTCTTATTCCCTACGAACCCATAATCATTCCTAATCATTCTGTCTATTTTAACACTTATATATGTTGATACGTTTACCATCAGCTTTCACTATAACCTCTACCAACATCGTTGTAAAACTAACCACTTTCCTAGAATTAATTACCAGTTGACATTTTTATGATTTAATTTTCATCTTGGCGCTTTTATTTTGATGCCAAAAGATAATGAATATATTTTGTATCAAACTGTTTCTCGTGGTACATAATAAACGCAAATGACAGTTTTATGTGCAGGGACGATAATCTAATTAAAAGGAATTTAATGCTGTTTCTTCTTAATTCATTAAAAACAGAGTTTTGCAATTTAAAAACTTGTTTATTGTATATTGGACGACCCAGAAGAAGAGGAGAGAGCATTTGAGAGAAACATACTGTGCTCCCATCTATGCCCAAGTATTTTCAAGTTTTTGCTTGAGATGTTCTGATAAAAATGTTCCATACATTTTGAATGGCCCCCATGCACACTACATGTCAAGCACTTCTATTTCTCTTTGATTTAATATCACAAAGACTATTAGGCTGTTGTCCTTAAAACATGTATCAATGACTCACTTTGCAGGTCAGAAAGAACTGGCCATTGAACTGTACAAGAAGGGCATATCAGAATTGGAGCAGGGGATTGCAGTGGACTGTGTTGGGGGGAAGGGAGAGGTGTGGGAAC